TTTGCATAGGTGCTTCTTAATGTGTTTGAGGTTTTTATTTCTAATAACGTGTAACTATCTAATAGCTCACCGAGTAAAAGTGGTAAATATGCGTTTGGGTTTCGTGCCGTGGCTTTTCGGTCGTTTGGGGAGATTTGCTTTATTAATAAATGATGCGTTCGGGACATTGCCTTCCTCTTTGTACGCCGAACGCGTAATCGACTTTTTCTTACTAATTATTCCGTTTACTATACAAACCGAGCGGACAATACCTGCGAAGCAGCGTCAACAAAATGTAGAACTTTGATAATAACTCGCTAGGTATCTAGGTAGTAAACCACAAAAAGTTGAAAAAGGGTTAGACATATAGACATCCACAAAAAATTATATAATTGCTTGTAATGTAGGTAAGTTATTGTCGTAGAAATTCAATATTTGATTGAGTGTTTTTTTATGACTCTTTTTTCTTATTGTTGATATGGATCATTGATTGACTTCTTTTTGCTTAAGAATATTGTATTATAGAATTGGCTAGGCGATTTGCTAGAATATTGAAATTTATTTGGAAGCAATATTTATTTCATCAATAATATATTAATTTTTAGCGTCTTGCGAGCAATTTTTAGTTTTTTAAAGTTTTTCATAAATTATATTACGATAATAACCTATAAATTTAATTTTTGATAAATAGTAATATATTTTACTTACTTTCATAGAAATTTTTTAGAAATACGTTTATTTGTGAGTAAAAAGGTTATTGCTGAAATTGATATATAATTATTACATATTTCTCATTTGGCTATTTTATTTTGAACACTTTTAATATTTACTTACGTAGACTTTTTTTCGTTTTGCTAAGATACATTTCCCTTTCTTTCATTTCCGGCCAGTCACGCGTCGACGCTCTCGTTTTCTTGCAATGTTGATATTGTGGTCTTCAAGGGTGAGTGTTTAGCCGACTTAGGAGACTAGTGTCTGACGAATTTGGTAGTAGCACCTCATGCTGCTTCTTGATTGTCCTAGGGCACGCGCTGGACATATGGCACTAGAACTATAATTTAATTTTTATTAACCAGTTCATTAGCGCTAAAGTTTATTGTTCTTACCATAACTTTAAAATAATCCAGAAAACTTTAAAAATTAGAAAAAAAATTGAAAAAATACAAAAATTTAAAACTGAAAAATTTATATCAATTTATCAATAAACTTACAGGTATTATTTTTATTTGGCCCTGCAATAACATTTTGCACTTTCTACAATTTATATTTCTGCTAAAAACGCAATTTTTCTTTAAAAACTATAAAAATATTATCATTCATTCACCATATGCAACACCACTTTATTTTCCTCAAAAAAGTCGTTATATTGCATACCATGCCATACATTACCCCTTGTCTTGAACATATAACTTAAGAAACGTCTTAAGACGTTTTTATACCCACCGGTATTGAACGCACCGATGCATACTGTCCGATGCTCACTGGAGGATGACAATGCATCGTAACGGTCGCGTGTCGTACTCGTGCACCTACCTAAAAACACATAGCACTTTAAGCGCCCAACGTGTGCCTGTGCCCTTTATCTTACGATAGCGAGGGAGACGCGTGCCCGCAATTAAATTCACTTCCTTACGTTGTTCGTTAGATTCAAAATTGTGCAGTCGGTAGAACGGCGCGGCGTGCAGTGGGGATGCAGGCGCAAAGTCAATGTGTTAAAGAATATCTTTCTGATAGTTTTAGTCGTGCGACGAACGTCTTGAGATTAAGACTGGTTTTGTGATAAACATTTACAACAATTTTATAAGTGCAACGTGGACATTTTACCTCGTGTGATATTATTTCGGGTGATTTAATAGTTAAATTAAGTAATTCTTTAAGAAACAGCATTGCAATAATTTCAAGGTTAGTAAAAAATTGTTTTTTATTAATTATTTTTGATATATTGAAGTTTAAATCAAAATTTTTTCTGGTATAGATGTAAATTTTTAAATTAAATGCTACAACTATTTGTTTATGCGTTTTTTTAATATATCGTAGTAAAAAAATGCAATTGAACAAAATATTTTAGTATTTAATGAATTATTCTTAATTAAGAAGTATTCCCAATAAATATTCCGCGTTATATGTTTCTGAATTTAATACTTATGATGATAAATTAAAAATATGCGCAAAATTAAAGATTCTCACATCATTACTGTCAAAGGGATCAATTATTGCACGCCTATTTGTATTCTGGACACATACAACAAGTTGCGATTGCAATGCAACGCCAAATCAATGAATGTACACTTGCAAAACACACGCACAGACAACACATAAACAAGCGGTGTGAAACAGTACGAAACAGTAAAATGTATTAATAGGTGTCATTCCTATGAACGCCCGAGTATTGCCCGTGCTTGTGAGCGTTAGCATTGAATGAAAATGAAAATAAAAAATAAAACAAAACGCGCGCGTGAGAATATAAAAAAAGCAGCAGTAGCAGCGGGCCTGCTTCGCCAGCCGGTGAGCGGCGTCGGCGGCGGCAGTGGTGGCCGGCGTGGATCGGAATCGAAAGCGCACGGCGCGACCCGGAAAAAATGCGCCGCGCGCGCTAAGTACTTTTTTATTCGAACGCGCGGCGGCCCTATTTTTCCCGGCGCGCATTTTTATTTTTATATTGGGCGCCCCGCGCCACCGCCGCCGCCCCCCGTCGACGGGCATCGTGTGTTTGGCGCTTACTCTGCCGTGCGTTTGTGAGCGTACGAGTGGAGGACACCTGTTGTGTTTCGCCGAGTGTGGGCCAAAACGATGGCTATTGATAGAAATCGATGCCGGCGCGTCTCTGCGATGATCATATGGAAATCGCAAGTTATATCAGGACCGTAACAAGTTAATTTACAAGGCACTTTATTTTTTCTTGTATTTAATTGCCTCTTTTACTAATGATCGTCCAATGGGAAGGAAATTCATTCATTAAACCCGAATAAATTGATGTCGATTCACGAACATTTGCCAAATAAGCAATTCCGGGAATTACGTACGAGTGAAATAGTGAGATGAGATGCAGATGACCAGACACTGACCGAAATCGTTGCGTCTTTGTTAAAATTGCCTTCGAAGACAAAGGAATTGCGAGTCAGTGGCGATGTCGACGGTGTCATTGCCGTCCGAAGGAGATTTATATCTGCGATTCTAGGGGCGCAACTTCTTGAGCGCACCAGAAACCAGATGCTCGAATTGACTTCCACGCTGCGGACCTGCAATTACATTAAATTACTATCCCCCGGACCTAAACATCGATTTAATAGAATTGAACGTCTAATTGCCGATGGGTCTAAATGCTCAATGCTCACTAAAACGGTTTTATTGCAAATGAATGCAATTTGATAGATTTTACGATCACAAAATACGAAAAAAATTTTTTTTTGTTAAAAACGTATTAAATTAAATATTTACGTATTTTAGATGATATTATTTTATAAAAAAAAATTATTTTATATTTAATACTTGATTATCTTGCTGGAGTTGAGAGAAATAGTGGAAAGAATGATCTGAGCGTAGAATGAAACGTAGCGCGAAAAGCGAGCGAGTCCTAGTTGTAGTTCAGCGTGTTGCCACTCGAGGATGCCGGGGCGCCACGTGTCGGACGCCTTGGCTGCGTCGCGACGGCTGCTCATGCGTCCTGCGCCCCCACTCCGCACACCGTCGGACGCCGCTAGTGTGCCACAAGACGGGCATTCATGACCATGTCCCCTAAGTGTGTTGATTCCTACCGCATTATGTGTGTGCGCCTTTCATAAAATATCTAAGAAAATTTAAACTCTTAACATAAGGTAAGCCAAACACTGCTTCATCCAAGACAAAATCCTTTTTATTTTTTGTTTTTTATATAACCACCCGAAAAATCTCTCTTTTTATTTACAACCAAAACACAATTAAATAAGATTTTATTTTTTGCTTCCCAACAAAAAATAAATAAATTATGTTCGCCGTTGTCAAATAAAACAAAAGTGATGCGAAAATAAAACTGGTTGAAGTGAAATTGAAGTTTCTCCGTGCGAGCGTAAAATTAAAGGACAAGTGTGGGACTTAGACGCCGGCTCGCAAGCGCCTGAAACACGTTTTCATAGTTCGGCTCTCTGAAGTTCAAGTGTGCGCATCTGACAACATTTTAAATAAAACATAAACATAATCTGGTGAAAATAGATTCTTTTTAAATTGTCAAGCCACTCTTCACGTTAAACCGGCGGTAAATGATTTACATCAGAAGATATAAGAGGATAAATCCAAAAAACAGTATGTATTTCAAATTTTCGAGAATTTAAGTTTTGAGAAATAAAAATAAAAGTCGAGATTTGAAAAAATTAAAATTTTGCTTTTAAATATTTTTTATTGAGGTTTGTGAGATTTTAAAGTCAAAAAATGAAAATTTGATAAATTTGCTTTTTGGAAATATAAGTTGTGCGGGCAAGTGCTCGAGCGTCTCGCGAGTGAGCGTGCGAAGGCGCCGGGCAAAGGAAGTGGTGGGAGCAAAGTGGTGGGGCACGGGCGGTCAGCTCCGCAGCGCAGCGCTGGTGGCAAATCTTAAAAAATCTTCGAGACGACTTAAAAATCAACTTAATTATCCTCCCCCACTTGCGGCGCGCCGGCAGGCGGCGGAGGCGTGGCGTGGGTGGTGGGGAGGCCGGCGGCCGTCGTGCACTTGCCGCGGAGCGACGCGACGCCGGCGCCGCGCCGACGTTAGGCGCGCGTACGACGAACGTCTTCCCAGTCAGTCGTCGGCGGCGGCACGCGTCCTCCGCTCACACACGCGCTCGCTCGCTCGCACTCGCTCCTTCTCTGCCGGCAGCGTGCGCGTGCACGGGTGGCGGGCGCGACGCGCGAGGCACGGCGCCGTCTTACCTCGAGACGCCTTCACACTCCTCCGGCATCCTTCGTGGCGGCCAGCGGTGCGCGCACACCCTCACACCCGCCAGCGCCAGCGCGAAAGCGAAGAGCGCGCACGCCGCGCGCACCACACAGTTCAGTGCCGAGACGTCGCGACGACGGTCCTAGGACGCCTTCACGACGCGCCGGCGACCACCCCCCTCGCAGGAGAGTGCTACGCACGAGCGTCGTCGTCAGTCGACTTGGGACTTCAACTCCGCCGGACTTGTTCATCCTTGCGAGCGCGCGCGAGAGTTGGACTTTGACTTTTCGCCGCGCGCTTCGACTTGGAACTTCGTCTGAACGCAGTGCTGCGATACAAAAAATAAAACTAAACCAACAAGAAAACATTCAGTGAACTTTTGTTTTTCAAATATAACCGCTATATTTAATAACCAACCATTTAACCAGTTAATAAATTAAACTTAAATGTACGAGAACACTTAGTGAAAATTAACTATAATCACAGTTTGAACTGAACACGAGTTTTAAACACAGTTTGCTACATGGACGAATAATACTGGAGTGGAAAAACTATCTTCTTCATCACCAACTATTATTATCCTCCTTTAAACAAAAAATCACTCTGCTGCTCATGGATATTTTTTATTTTTGTTTATGCGAGTGTCCGAAGGTAATTTATTGCTTATTAATCTTAGTTAATATTGTGCCAACGGTGATTGAAAATTTTACGCGACCGCACTTTGCCAACCACCAACTTCAACTGAAGCTCACGCATCGGAATTGCATGAAACTCACCGAACTAAACCCTGCAGATTATTTTAAAACTTGTTTTATTCTTTTGTAAAAACAAGTCGGACTTGTTCTCTTTCACAAAGCCTATACAAAGCAACGTAATTCATGTGTTTGTGTGAATAAAATGAAAGAAGGGTTTCGCGCGCTAACGGTTTCTTACATTCGAGTAAACAAAAATATACGATGTTGTAAAATTGGTATTTTATTCGTGTGTTATTACTACTACATAGTTGGGTTTTGCATCAGAATATTCGGCGCGTTAGTTTTACCAGTTTTGCTAGTTTCGACCAGCATCGTTTTCGGCTACGTATAATTTATGCTCTCAAAGGGAATTTATGGTATTGTGCACCGTGCAACGAACTCGCTGTGCGCGGCTGCCCGAAACGAAATTCGCCAATCTCTACATGCGGCGGCGGCGGCTGCAGCGGCAGACACACGCACATCGCGTGTCCCTCTCGTGCCGCTCTCGATTCTCTCGAGTTTCGGAACGTTCAAAATGTTTCAATAATGCACTCCGGCGCGGCGGCGTTGCTGCACGCGGCAAAACATGTCTGCCCCTGGTTTGTTCGTTGTTTTCGGCCGTCGCCGTCGCCAACAATTCGTACATTATTTCGTACGCATTGGTGCGCCCTCCGCGGCCGCGATGCGTGTTTTGCACTTTCATCATGCTGGTGCGTTTCGTTTTATTTCATTTTCGCAATTTGCAAATTCGCTTTTCGCTCGCCTCCAACGCACCGGCGTATTCTCATATTTCCTGCCTGTGTATAGTTAGTGCTCCCAGTACGTCGATGCGTAGTATTTTTTTAATACCAGCGCCGCGCTGTAATAACGACCGACGCACCGCGCGCGCTCAGAGTTTTTTTTTTTGCGCGCGTTTGCTGTTCGCCCGCGCTCTGCTGTCCCGAAAAAATGTAACAAAAATTTAATTTCGAAATTTCCCATCCAGCGCGCACACACAACACACAAACGGTTAGAAAATAAACGCCGCGCGTAATATTTACCGGTTTTATGTTTTTCTGTTTTCGCATCGTTTTGCCCTCCTTTCAGTTTGGGAGTTTATTTTGCGTTTTCGAAATGTTACCCAAAACCGGTTTGATCACGACGTATATTTTCATACAGTAAACAGACTAATGTGACTCATGTGTGGCTTAAAAAGGGGGAACGCATCTATCGGAGGGTACTAAAAGCTTACCGTACCTCGAAAGCTCCTGGTACCCTCGTTGTATAATAAGTTGCCTATGTTATACTCTTGCAAACAAGTTTAAAACTCGGTGTTTGTAATGTTTGAAGAGTAGCCTAGGATAAAAGTTCAATAAATTTTCGAAAAAATTATTTTTGGGGATTCTGGACGTTACTCATTCTCCACTCGTGGTGTGAGCGTCCCGCCCCATGGTTTTGATGTGTTGGCGGTGGCGGCGCACGCAATGCACACGCTCCAGTCAGCGCAGACTGTAGTCAAGGCAGCATTTGGCGGTGGCAGGCGGAACGTTTTTTTTACACTCGCGGACCCACGCGTTTGTTTTGTTGCGCGTCCTGGCTCGCGGCGGCATCAGTTTCCACGAGGGCAGTTGGCGGCGGACGCGCTGCGAGAAGAGAGAGATTTACTGTTTGTTTCGGCGAACTTTGCGATAACATAAACTAACTGTGCCGACGCGCGGCGCAAAGCGTAAAAATGTTTAAAAACATGCGCAGAGCTGCAGCCTCACCACTAAACCAACTAGAAAAAAAAATGTGCACAAATATTACGTAAAATGCATGTGCACCCCCATAAGCCACCAAACGACAGGCTCAAACAGAAATGAAGCACATCGAAAAGATGCGCAAGTTGCACATATGTAAAATACGATGGAAAAATGCAAAAAAATGAAATATTGGAAAACAATGCGTTTACGCACGCAAAAGAATTAAATCCTTTCGAATTATTTACGAGTGGATTTTACAATCGCGCGTTCAATCGTGCACAACATAATTTTGAAAGATTTTTTTTCCCAATACTGATACTATAAGTCATGCAAATTAATCAAAACATTCGTAAAAAGATTGAATGTAAATAACAAACATAATAAATACAGCGCAACGTAGCGCAATTAATAATTTAATTGCATAATTGTCGCCAGCGCGTAACAGTCCGCGATAATTTGCAGAAATGTAGAAAATATCGGGTGTATATTTATATTATTACGAAGTTAAACACGCTCACCATGAAGGCAACACGCCAATCACCCCCGCCGCCGCTACCCAATTGAGATATCAATGAAAACGAAAATGAAATTTGTAAATTAAATTGCGCGATGCGAATAAATAGCGCAAACATTCACATCTACGCACTTGGAGCGCGGTAATTGTGTGCCGTACGTGCGGCATGAATGAATGAATGGCGTGAGGGTAGGTCAGTGTCAAATATGTGTGAATATTAATGTAATTGAAACTGATATTGTGTTTAATAATTAACCTGGTTATTGGCGCGGTTGTTCGGTCGACGCCACTCGGCGATTAAATTTTTAGCGGTCGCGCTCGCACATATGCAGGGGGGCGGGCATGCCGATTGAGTCCGGCAATAAACAAACACTCGATTTATATATAATAATCATATAACCGACCGAACCACCGCCGCGGTATTTATTCATATAATCATATATTAACGCATTTTGTACGAATTCATTTTCGAAATGTATAAATTTATACAATTTATACAAAACACTGGGATGTTTGTATAATTTCATTATGATTTGTGTTGCGTTACAAAACCACCGCCACCGCCACCAGCCACCCGACGACACGCCAGCGTGCATCGCGCCGAAAATAATGATAAAATAATTTATTTTAAATCGGTTTCGAAATTGAATTAATTACTTGTCGATTTAATTCGGTTAGTATTTGAAACTAATTTATATGTATATTTTCAAAAAGCCACCTACTCAATCATATCAATTTTTGTTTTATTTAGTTGTTCTTTCTGGTCAGTCCAGAGGCGTGTTGTTGGTTGCCTACGTTGAAAGCGCATATCGCTGGACAATTACAACAATTCTTTGATAATTACACGGATATCGGGCGGTAATACTGTCAGTCAATTAGCGTATAATAGCCGAGTGGATGTGTGAGTGAATATTTGCATTGTGTGCGTGCCAACCGCTGCCCGCTAGCTGTAACTGCCGCCCCCTTCCTAGGCATATCGCGCTACATTCACTCCATGCACATATATACAGCGTGCAATGATTTCGAAAGCCAATATGGAGGCGGGGGACGGCATTGCACTGTATACATCGACAAACCCGTCACACTACGCACTGTTAATAGATTATGCACTAATGTATTTTGCTAAACCTAAACACATGCGATATCAATCGGCAGCGGTAGTGGCGGCGGCGGCGGCGTGCATCAATGACACACAATATTGTACACGAGCGCGCAAGCATGACGGAGAGAGATAGACGCGGTGAGAGTGAGAGTGTGGAGGCGGTGTGTGGGTGGTCGGGTGGCAGGGTGGCAACGTACATAATTTGGTCACTAGTTTACACATTATGGTTAATTGCGGTCGGCCGCAAACGACTGTTCATTAAACGTCACTGCACGCCGCTGTTGCCGCCCCCGCGTTTGCACGGTTAGCGAAAGTTGTTGCTTCCGTACACATGTGATGCATTGTCACGTGTTTCTCATATATTGGAAAGATTATGTAAATAACGTCATTTATTACCTATAATAAATTCATAATGTTGATGTGTGTGTGTGGCTAGGTACAGTGCGCGCACGTGGCGTTAGTTGCAATTACCGGTGACCATTTCCGCGTACCGGAAATCGCCAAACGTCATGCGTCCGAACGTTCAACTCACGCACACAATTTTTCGCTTCTTCCATGCGTCGAAATTTGTTACTTTCACGTCCGAATAAATCGATATGCAGCTGTCGCTAACAATTATTATAAATATTTCATTCCTCTTACACCGTATAAAATGTGAATAAAAAACGTGGAAAAATATTTGAATCAAAAACTTTAAACTCAAAGTCCGAAAGCATTTATAGCCCATTTTTCTGGCTGCAGCGAAATATAAAAATAAATCAAAAAGCAATTAAATGTCATACTCATTTGTCCATCAAGCAGAGTGAGTGACGAACGCGCATCAACTCGCTGGCATCAGCGCTCTCTGGCAGGGCACTTGAAAAATTAATTGTAACTGTAACTCAACGGGAGAGAGAGTGTGCAAACGGTTTTCGCGTTATTTTTTTATTTTGCGCTAGGCTCTGGATGGGCGGCGCTGGCGGCACATCATCGTCAAAAGTCAACAAGTCACTCGCGCACTGATTCAACCATGAACCACGCAATCAAATAATCCAATAAAATAGCATTAAATGACGACCTTAATTTCACTACAAAATATCGCGCGTTTTCCAACTTGAATTTTTTTTTTCCTATGCGTAGAAAACTATTTATTATTATTGCTTGTGGCACTTACTAAACGATAATTATTTGTTATTATTTAACGTAAAATGCGGGTTATTGGAGAAATCTTTAAAGGAAGGTTGAAAAATCGCATGCAAATGTTTCGTAACAAAACTCGAAGCAGTTTTGAAATATTAAAGCCCAAAGGAGACGTCAACTGGAGTTTCTTCTCTTAAAAATCAAATTATCACATTTTATTTTGATTTTTTCCGTATTTAAAATATTTTATAATACGATCCTGTAACTTAAAAGCATACCAAACACTTATTTAATATTCTTGGTGCGTTTCTGTCAACCTATTAGTCTGTTTCTGGTGCAACTTTATATCTCCACGCCGCACATGCCCCCATATTCTATTTCTGGATGTGTTTTATGTCATTACAGCAATGTTTCGATTTCGATAAAGCAAACGACATGGTTCTTAAGTAATTTTATACATTATCACATCATATCACTTCTGTTTCTATTTTTATTTCCGACGCAAACACGTGACACTTCGTGTGAAACGGAAAAAAGCGATTGGAACGCCAGTAGGCGTCTTGACAGCGCAAGATTAGGTTACAAATATTGTAATTCACTTGTGTGATGATATTTTATTAACGATTATGTTTTGTTTTGCTTGCAGACTACGTAAATGGACTATAACTTGCTCCCAACTTCCCTCCCTTCCAAACGGTAAGTGATTTCATTTCTGTACTCAATAAATTAAGAGTAGCTGTGACTGATTTTGGTGAGTGTTTGTTAAGGTTAGTACTAGTGTGACTATTTTCATACAGATGGCGCTCACGCGTATCTGGAGCAATGTTTGGGTAGGCGGGTGCGTGTTTATATACACACGATCGCGATATTGCCGATATCCTCATTCGACGCGCTTCGAAAACGGCAACACGCTAATTGATTTAAAGCACTTAACGAACCCTAACCGCTTTCGATCTGTGCGCGCTCGCAAACGTTTCCGCGTGTGCCCCCCGCGCCGGTCGAAACGGAAAGTGCAAACATCGAATGCCGAACGGCGCGAGATGGGTCGATGACAATATCGAATCGTCTGGCAAATTAGCGAATTAATGCGCTCGTTATAAGATTACCTGCATTGCGTGCGTATTTGGTTTATCGCCTATATACACTTCTACGCATGCACAAACAATTGACAATTTTGAGGGTGATTATGGTTCAATTAAATTGCTTTAACTTAAACTTTTACTGGAGGCATTTTTAAAGAGAACTGGGCATGTCTTATTGGTGTAATACACCTGTATGCATCAAAGGGAACGCGTTTCTTATTGGAGGCGCACCTGTTCCGTGACGAGGCGGAGTTTTCGTGCGACTAAAATAAAACCGTGCGCGAGTTAAGACGCCGAACGTAACAAGTGGCTACGCGCTGAGAACTTGGCCACTCCTTGAGGAAATTACAGTTTTCTTTTTACTTCCATCTTCCACCAATCAAAAAGCATAGAATTATATTATGATAAAATTGCTTTGACGTGTCAAAAAGATCGTTATGAAAATTACGTTTGTTGAATAAAATAACAATAGACTTGTAAAGTACGAGAACGAGTCGCGTCGGTCATAGGCCGCCTGTCGGTCGCCGGAATGCTACTTACAGGACATTATGTCCTGATAATAATGTCTCCAGCGTAGCGTGTCTCCTCTTTTTTTGCTTACGCCAACTGCGCGCGAGCACTGCTTGCAAGTACAAACGAACGATGAACACACAGCGCATAGAAAGTAGAAAACATAATAATGTCGGTTTGTAATACTTTGGCAAATCTAATGAGTAATGACTACATTTGTGTGCGCTGTGTACCGGTACTTACAATAAAAAAAGCACTAAAAATAACAGGAAGCCGAATGTAAGCCAAAGCCACATCTCACACAATCGATCTGGATCTCATCTCGTGAGAGTAATTTATTTATTGTTAGAATAATACGCCACACAAAACACACAAAAAAAGAAACTAATTAGGTAATTAAAACATCTGATAGAATACGAAATTAAAATTGCTAATAATAAAAAAAAGAAACTCATCAAATATTTAGTCAGGACGGGATTCGACGGGACGCTTCAAACGGAAAGAATAAAAGAGGATATTATTCAAACAGTGAGCGTGGAAAACTCAAATTAATTAGCGCCATTGATGACGACCAGACGCGTTTGTTTAAATTCTCTCTTGAAGCCAGTCGGCGAGAGCGATTCGCGGATCTTATTTCGCGTCGCGAGCCGGCCAATAAGAACGCCGCGCGCCGGAAGTGCGGAGGAGTGTTTCGGACGCGGCTCACCTTCTTTTGTTTACACTTTGTGCACTTTGGCTCGTTGCCTCGCTGTGCGCTGTTATTTTTTTTTTATTCTGGCACAATAAAAGCGAATAAAAGCCGACGATCACGACATCCGGATGGAGTTGATTATAATTTCAGCTTGTTGCTAGAGATGGATTTCGAAATTGTACATTCAATATGTGCCCACTTACGAAATGTTTTCATATCTGACCATTAACAATCCAATTACATGCTTATTTCCTAACTAATACTATATATGCAAATGTTTTTGTATGTTTGTAACGCTTTCAAGCAAATACCACTCAGCCAATTTTGATAAAATTTACTGGAGAGATAGTTTAGACTTTGCAAAAGACAATAGGATAATTTTTGTCGTGAAAATATTGCTGGAAGGGTGTACAATAAGGGATGAAAGTCAATATGTATTTTATTCACAGTAATAGTTGTATAATTTGAATCTAGATGGCGCAAAAGTACATCATGAGCATATTTTTGTTTCTCTAAATTAAAATTGAGTATTTTTTGAGGAAAATGGCGTATAATTCGTCCAGGATACAAGAAAGTAATTAATTTTTTGAATAATAAATCCTGATCTGTTTAAATTGTAGTATAAAGAGCACGATCGACATTATTTTGCAATCGATGATTTAACAGGTGATCATTAAGTGGAATTATAATACTCAAGTCCACATTCGTGACACATGCTGCTCCTAGCCTTGACAGCATCCTGTTTTCGAGCGAGCTCCTCTCGCGCAATTATATTTCGATAGCGTCGTTGCTGTGTGTGAATTACTTGTTGCTCTCGGTGACAAGTAAGAAATTATCATTAGCGTGCGCCGTTATAATAATCAACTGGATCGGAAGTTTTCAACATGTAGACAATGTTTTTTTTTGTATTATTTGTTGTTGCTCACCAATGCGACATTAGTGGAATTTCATATTTCATTCAATTCTGTTTGCATATTTTTTGTGTGTCATTTAATAAGCTGTAGGAAATTAGGTGAACAACAATAAGATGGCAAATGTTGGCAAAATCGGGCGATATGAGACTGCCTAGAATAATGCTGCTCGAGTATTGTTCGTTTATCGCGTCGTGAGCACGCCAGCACAAAGTAAAGGGGGTAAAACACATCTGCCGACTTTGCGGCACGGCGCGCACCCCTTGAAAGAAAGAAATTACCACCTGGCGGTTCTCTGATGTGCGCGCCACGGTGCGCAAACAAGAAGGGCAGGACGATGACGACGTCGCTTGACGAAAAGAAGGGAGTCTAATCTACCACTGCACATATGTGTGTGTTAGTTACCCTCTACCTCTACGTTAATTTGGCTCACCTCTAGTGTAACGCTTAGAACCATACGGAACAATTTATGACAGCAATTTTTATTTATTACCTACATTTACATATACCTTACATCTGGAGTCACCTTGTTTCGGAATGCACTCACGCAACAAATGATATTACAACATATGTTCGGTATTTTCTGCGGAAATTTCTACATCAAAAACTGATCGATCTTTATCGATCACTGAACATCTTGTGTTGTGTGTGTCGCCTACTTTCAGTAGCGCCTATTGATGTCATTTTAAAGGCACTTAAGAAGTCGTTGTGGTTTGTTATTATCTGTGGGTGGCGTGAACCCTGATGCAATATCTTCAGGTAAAAGCAAACAAAACATAAAAAAGAGCATTCAAGGCAAACCTTTTATCAAAACTACGCATTGCCCACAAATTAAACTTCTTTACAATACGAGAACAAACAAACAAACCGAGAATTAAGATTGATCTGCTCATAGGCAAGAAAATGTGCAATCGACAACTTGACATATGATACTTTTTGCATCTGCAAAAACATAATATTCGATTTCGTTTTACGGTCAAATAGTTTTCTTTTTGGTCGAGCGTACTTTAATCCAATTTACTTCAGAGCGGTCAAACAATACCTTCATTCGATCTGGGGATATGCGGTCGAGAGCGGATGTTTATCTCGCATGCGTTCTGACGACAAGTATTGTTGCATAATTTAAGCGATAATTAACTTAGGTTTGACCGGTGCGCACTGGCGTCCAGCGAGGAAAAACGAGGACACATACACACACGCAGGTTTTCTATTCAATGGCGGTGATGGAGAGCTGGTTTCAAGTCCGATGACTTTATACCGTGCATCCTGCGGAATGCCGCGAATTCTTTGGACCGCATCACCTCGGCTCACTTGATGATACGTTTCGTACGCCAAAGCGTAGCGGATATCCTTTCTGGTTTATATCCGCGACGATTTACTTCCACTATGATTTCATGGTAAAAATATCATCAAGTTTAGGCGCGTGACTATGACTAAATATCAACTCAAGTTAATCTCTATGACTATAATGATGTGATTAAATTAAAAACTTTTTTATTGGTTTCTGACACCTTGTATGACTTGCATGCGACTGGTTGGAGGATGGTAAAATGCTGAAGCGCGACGAGAATGGCATGTAAATATTTTGTCAACTCGAAAATTGCCTTTTTGCATTTAAATTAATCGTTTAATCGAAACCTCGGCGCCGCCACCACCGAGGTTTGTCGTTTGGAGAGCACCCCGGTGGTGCGCGAGAATTTTCAATAATTCAGAATTGCGTCGGGCTCCGGCCGCATTCGACACGTTCAGTTCTTGCTAAATAATTAGCGCATTCGCGTAAAAACTGCCCTGTGTCTCGTATGCCAGTCGGTCATCAATTTCGGAGGCACATGAAAATCGCATTCGGTGTGCGCTATTGGCATGAGGCGAAATTTATTGCCCTAGGTCTGGAAATTAAAGCAAGCCTCGAAAAGCCAAAATCAAACATTACCGCTTTGTATGACCCAGAAGTCATGAAAAGTCCCCCTTTCTGTAATACAGAAGCATGTGCGCAGTTAAGATCGAGGGACGCATATGTGACGTCGCTTAGTAGTAAACGTAGTAAGTTATACGTCTCGAAGATGACGTAACAGACTTGATATCGTTAGTACCTTTTGCTTGAGCCTTCGTAGTGCCAGGTGTTGAGTTCCCAACCGGAGGGAATGCACCTTGAGACATTTAAAAAGGTTTTTAAAGGTCGATTTCATTCAAAAGACGTCTAAACTTAACAACAGGACTTGCTCAACACCAGAAAGGTGCTACTATTAAAAATAAGGTCCTACACAATTTAATAACAATTTTTCTCACAAAATTATTTAAAAAAATCGTTTTTTGCGTTTGTTTACAAATCGACATGTGTCTCGGTACCATCTCTCGAATTTAGGGAGAGCGTCACACCGCTGGTTACAAGTTTAGTGGGTATGATTTGCGAAATGCGAGTAATATGTATTTTACGTATCAATGGACGAGTGGCAGCAGTGCACAAACACAATCTAGACGCGTGGCGTCGGCACGCTCGTGCCA